TGGCATTCAGTCTGTAATCCTAGCAAGGTAATGAGATTTACAGAAGCCAAATCCTAACATTTTTTTATTACACTATGAAAGCATGTTCAATTTTAATATTTGTCAACATGTGTGAATTCAGCTTATTATTTGTTTATAGCATGGCTGATACAAATTTCAACCTAAATTTGCGTAGAATATACATAATTAACAAGTCAGAACAATTCTGATCTCCCAAAAGTTTACTTTGAAACCTACTTCACTCCTTCCCAGAACAGTAAAAGAATTAAATCTTCACAGTCATACAAACTAAAAGTTGATGAAATTTCAAGCTCCAGACATTCAAAATGCTGGTAGCATTTTACCTCCCACACATAGCATATGACAATTGTCTATGTTCGTTATGAATTCTTTCCACACCTGAATTACCAGAATTATTACCTGAATTATCATTATTTTCTCTGAATTACCAGGGTCTGGACCCAGCCATTAGCAGAGAGCAGACATGATACACCTAAGGTAAACTGTGAGCTGATAGTTCCTACTTTTTCAGTATCAGGTAAGTTCTTGCACTGGCAAAGGATCACTTCATCTAGTAAGTCCTTTCATCATAAAGTATTTATCTCACTGGTGAGAGTTTAAAATGCTAATCAAAATATAGTCAGAACTAGGAAATATTAGACTTTTCAATTTATCAAAAGACTGTTACTAATGCTTGCCTGTTCTTTAAAGAAAGATTCTTTTTTTAATACGAAAATATACATCCCTGATGATTTCAGACTTCAGAAAAATGATATGGAATGAGAGGCTGCTCTTTGCCCTTAAATTTGAAAGGAAGTATCCTAATTTCATAACTTATTTTGTGGTTTTTAGCTTTTGCTATATAGTAGTATTTACCCACCATATACCATTAACTAAGTTTTATGATACCTCTGTCAGGTACAGGTTTTAAAAAAAGGAAAGAGAAGAGATATACAATGTTTTGGGGAAAAAACATCTAATCCATAATCCTGATGAGGTTTCCTCAGGTCTTTCTGGGAAGAATCCTGCAGTGGAGCCCCAGACTTCATGTTAAATTAGGGCAGAAAATACTCTTTGCTCATAAAACGTGCCTAACATCTCACAAAACTCCAATAAAAGCATGATTACCAGCATGATTACATGGATTACCAGTATCTTAAACACTGAAAAGAAATGCATGTGAAAATACCCACTCTGTAAATAAATTCAAGCATAAAAGCCACAGCAAATACCCAGGCTAATCTGTAACATTTGACCAGTCTCAAATATTAAACTGCAAAATATATCATGCTGCAAGAAAGTAAAACTTATTGGTAAATCAGCCCAGAATACTAGTGGAAAGAACATGGCCCCAAGGGAGAGGCACATATCGTAAGGAAAATAACATGGCAAAGTCCATAAAACAAGTTTAAATACATCTTAATGCCAAGCCACAGTGCAAAACTAATGCATTTATTTTCTATTAATGACAAGGTCAGATATAAATCTGTGACCGAAATCTGCAGGTAACCGAACATTGTGCGGCAGCGACTGTTCACCATATGGAGCAGTGTTAATGCAGCAGGGCAGGAAGGGCACAAGAAGGGCGACTCTCCAGTTCATTCCGCTCTCCCTCCCGGCAGATTCGAGTCCTGTTGAAATTTCATGCCAGAAGAGCTTTACGGAGATGCCCAGAGAGGGAGAACAAGATTAAAAAGGATGTCAGGAAGGGGCCAGGGAGCTATAGATGTTTTAAGAGAAAGCCAGCAAAGTATAGAGATACAGGAGGATAAAACCATTGTGCAAAAGAAAAGACAGGCTGTTCAAAAGGAAAGAATGGACTGGCAGCGATGAGTGCTGAATATCATGAACAGATGAAGGCAAATGCAGGCTAAAGTGCAACTGCTTTAGGATTTTATTTTTAGACACATTGTTAAAGAAAAAGGGTTTTCAAAGCAGAGTACTTCATGGCTAGCATGTTCATCTACCGTTAACCAGGATGTATAGACTACATCACCAGCATAAAGGAAACTTTAAATGTCGCTGTAAAATCTTTACTGAAGAAGAAGAGTTCAAACTGCAAGTTACAGATCCTGAATCAAATTTCCCAAAGTTTGGAGCACCAGTATTTCCAAATGTTTATCATTAAAAGTGGTTTTGAGAGCACTTAGAGGAAAGCGTTAATTTTTTTCTATTATCAGTAAAGCCAAGGATAGTAAGAATTAATTCATGCAAGTTGTAATGGATTCTCAAACCCAGAAACATCTCTCTCCCATCAGAAAACATTCATGAAATCTGACATAATTCATGTAAACTCAGTCTACTGACATTTATGAACCAGTCACATCAAACTCCCCATTTCTAGCCATATTAGCTCTTACACATGTATTCTTTTGATCATGAAAGAACTGGCTGATTAAAATTCAGAGATGGCAAGCAGAAAGCAAGGTTACTTATTAAAGCAGAAGGAGCAGACACTTCACCAAACTGCCTGGCCTTCTGCTGGGCAGAGATCTAAATCCAGTCCAGAGACACTGAGAAGAATCAGAGCAACTTTAAATTCTGGAAAGGTACATTTTCTGCAGGGTATATCTTCGCTTCTGTTGAAACATATGAAATATTAATGTCAAATCATTACACATCAATGCATTTGTATACTCCCCTGTTATAAAGTGTCCAAACGAAAACAGTCTGTTCTGAATAATTTACTCCTGAATCATCAGCCAGCTTTCTTCTACAAATCCAGGAGATCTTCACTATTCACCAAATCACATCTATGACTAACAACCTTTTAGAAAAGATGTTCTCTCTCAAGTTTCAGAAAGGTACCAGCACACATGTATTTGATGTGCTACGAAACTTGATATTTAGAACAGATATAAATGTGCTAACCATAAAGTAAAAATACATATAAAGGCTATAAAACACGATGGGTTTAAGTTTGTGGACTGGATCCAGCATGCGAGAACAACTTGTTCAACCTCCAATAGTAAAGTCTCTGTGACCATCTTTCCAGGAGGTCCCCAAACACATGTGGGAAGAGGCTGAGGGCTCGATGAACTGTTCTGGCAATGCACTTGCTGCTGTTTCAGTCTTGCGGTTCCCCCAACTCCCCCTGCCTCAGCCCATCACATAAGGGTGCTGTGGACTGCCTCAGCCAAAAGCTTTGCAGCAGAAAACCTGTTTAAACTAAGGCTAAAAGACTACGTGAAACCACAGACCTTAAAATAAATGCCAATTTTGACTCAAGTGGTGACAGTCCTAATTACTCCATGATTATTTCTGTAAGTACCAGTCCAATACCCTTATTTGCACACTCAGTCAGACTTGCTGACAGCTCACTGCTGCACTGTCCTCGGCAAAGGAGACAAAAGTTGTGTCTGATGGCAGTTAAAAAAATACATTCACACAACCACTTGCTTTTGAAATATGAAGCTGCATTACTAAAATAATCATTCCGGTTTTGTGTGGGGCTCTTTGGTAAGAGAAATTACAGTGTCTCAGAAATGTCTGTTCTTCCTTCATGTTCACATCCCCTTTCTCTTGCTGCACAGGGTGGAAGAAACATAAATGCACTTGTTGATTGATGTTACCATAATAATCCATTACCAAGAAAAAAACAATTTCAAAACAAGAGTCACAAACTACATAATTCCCTTATGAAATACAACAGCGATTCTGAATTAAGGTTTTGTTTGTTTGGGTTTTTTTTTAAATGAACAATGGTTATTTTTCCCATTTGCTTACTAATGTACTCACTGTAATGCTTTTTTTTTTTTAAAAAAAAACCTTCTTCCATTTGTTACTAATGGAATAGAATTATTTCCAATCTCAAGATCCTGAGCAGAAAACTCCACTTTTTTGAGGCTAGGAAAAAACGTAAAAACACACATCATTATTGTATTGGTCACTGCAGAGATACACAAGTGGAAGGCAGAGGGTCAGTACTTAGGAAGGGTAAGCTTTCAAAGACTGAGAGGACTAACAGAATAACTTCAACAATATATACCGGCTCAGTAGGATCCCAAATTATTTGTACTTTCATTCTGGCCTTGGTATTAGCCACACATTTTCAACTAAATCATTCCATCTGCATAGGTGTACTCCAGGTGTGTGCGTATATATACATATATGTATATATACAACCACATACACACTTTTAATCCAGATACTCTTTTACTACAAGCTACTAAAATGCTACGAAATCCAGGGAAACTTGCTAAATGTTAATAGTTAACATCAAAACCCCCAAATTAGCTCATGGTATGGTTTGCAGCAGCTACTGCTAAGAAATGAGGTTTTAAGATTCACTAACACATTGCAGAGAAAAAGATACCAAATTGAGACACATTTCCTGTCAGAAAAAGCCAGAAAAATTGAAGATGGGAAGCCATGCCTTTAGTTGTACATTCATATGAATTAAAAAGATTAAAAAGAAATGCAGTGTTCAGCACTGATAAGCTATATATACATCTCTTTCAGGCAGATAAGACCAGATTGCATAATGTGACTAACAATAAAGATGTATTTGTAACATGAAAATAGGTGTTGTGTAAATTAAAAAGGAGTCTTTCCCCTCATTTGTCCTAAAATGTAAGGGATGCTTGATCATCATAATTTGTGAATGTTATTCTTTTTCAGCTTCTACTTTGTGGATATTACCCGATTTTAGTATTTGATTAGGGAAAAAAAGACTAATTGACTTTACAGTAATACAGACATAGTTTTAATATAATTACTAGTACAGCTGAGTTTATGTTTGATTTCTATGTCCTCAGATTTTCCAAGGTTAAAGAGAGCTATCAATACATGTATGAAGATATCAAATAAGCAAAAATTGCATTTACCACCCAGAATTTATCTTCATATCCAAAGATGGACCACAAGTTTAAGTACATTAAAAGGCCGGTGATGAAAAATACACTGACTGGATTTGGATGCAGTGAATTCAGCAAAAGGTAAAATGTCTCAGCATGTACGTGGCTAAATCAGGTTTATATATTTTGCAAAAGAAAGCTTACCTGCCCATTTTTTCCCAGTTCCATTTCAACTATTGCAACAGGAGTGTTTATCTGATCGATGTGTCTTGACTGTGACTTCAGATCCACCCGCCAGTTCATGTTTTTCAAGACATTATCCCAACGGCTTTGATTGATCAGGCTCTCGTGGATCTTTATTCGGTGGTTCTTCCAAAATTTTGCAATGACTGCAGCTTGATCGGATGTGATGCCACCTTGTTTTTTGGTCTGGGCAGTAAGAAAAGCCTCCAGCTGATTCAAATCCATGTCTGCTGAAGCAATTGTTTTAAAATAAGAGGAGAAAAAGGGAAAAGCTTGCTCAAAAATACTCTTTAACAGTCTAAGCTGAACAGTCTACCAAAAGGTCGCATCTTTAGGGTTTTACAAATACCGGGTTTTAAAGGGATAGTGCAAACAAAACTGGGTTATGGAAACGGCCTGACAACTTTCATTAAAACTCAATTTGGAAGTACCTACCACTTATCCCAGATTCCTGCCTCCAGACGGCTGGAGGGTAATGGATCAGTAACAGTGATGAGGAAACGGCAACTGCCTTAGGGAATGCAGTACTAGTACAGTGTAACAAGGAGGCTTCTCACTGCCTGCCTGGCCCCAGTATGCCCTATGCATGCCCAACTGGTTGCTGCTGGGAGCTGGATCAGGAGTCTGGCACAATACTGCTGTTCTGATGGTCAGAAAGCTGGGGCATACATGGCATGCCCCTGGCCAAGGCTGAACCAAGCGAAGAGACATCCCAGCTCGTTGCAACATCCACGGCTTCATCTGCCACCTCCACATCACAGACAAGGAAGCAAAACTGGTAAATGCTGCACCAGTCAAGCAGGGTCTGCAGCACTGGCCACAGCAGTGTGCTGGCTGCAGCAGCAAGGGCGCAAGTCTTCCAAGGGATTGTCCGTGTGCGCGGAGCAATCCTTAAAAATGCAACTGCAGCTTCTTCCAAAGCATCAGTGGACTCTGTCAGGCTAAATACTGATTGTTCTTCCCAAACCCCTTTTTAGATACCCAGTTTTTCCAAAGCTGATAATCCCACAGCCTCAAATTTGCATTGCCTAACTGGCAATTGTTGCTAAATAAGGCTGTGCAGGGAGGGGAGGACAGGAGGTGGAGAGAGGAAACTGTGGCTAAGTTTCCCCATCGTAGTTTCAAGCAGACGCTTTTGCTTCATTTGCACCCAAAATGGATGCAGCTTACCCTAAATGAAGATGCCACCTCCAAGCACGTGCCAATGTGGAGCACAGCAAGGTGAGGTGTGGCCAACGCTGCAATCCTTGGGATTTGCCTCGATTTAATTTTCCTTAACATGTATTCCTACCGCTGTACTCCATGCATTCAGGGAATTGATGACCTCACTCTCAAAGGCTACCGTTAGCCAAGGGGATGACACCATGTGGCTTTTGGCCGGACACACACTGTGTTCTTCACGATACCTGTCTGCAAAGCAGGGCATCACTCATCTAAAAACTGAGGGGTTAGCGCTCCGTGAGCTTGCCAAGGACATGAGACCTGCTGCTTCTCCCCATTTCATCAGCAACGAACTAAAACTCTCAGTGGGGTGAACTATCAGCAGGCTTTGCTGCCTTCCTCTAGACCAGACAGATGTCAAAGTACGCGATCTTAGTCACACCAGGAGTGGCCTGAAACAAAACCACAGTTTTTAAAACAAAAAAAACCACACACCAAACCCCACAAGAACTAGCCCAAAACAAAGAGCTCACATATCACGCAAGCAATAGAGAACTGCAGCAGGTTTGCTGCTTTGACAGGAGTAAAGCCAACACCGCGACTTGCTCAATGTTCAGCAGATACACCACCACATCCTCCTTACCCTAAGGGCTTTTTTTTTTTTTTCCAAGAGAAAAGCAAACCAGGAACACCCCCCCTCCCAAAAAAGCCAACAAACAACTTGTGATCTACAATGGTTATGCTGCCTTTTATCATCAGTGTATAAGATCTTTCTCCTTTTTGGGGGATTTTTTGGGTTTTAAGAGGGACACACTGCCTTCCCTTGCTCTTGCAACAGATTAGCTGCCATCTGTTACGTGATCTAGAAAAGAAATGGCAATCCACACCAGAAGTAACTGCTTGGCTGTATCAAGGTTCCAGCTTAATAGGAGCATCTGCCGATTTATTACAAAATTTGAGATGCCTAGTACACCACTCTGTCTTTTCTATAGGGCATTCACCATATCGGTACACATTGTTTGCTTTTATCATTAAGATATTTAACTTAAGAGGTAATTATCCTGTGATATCTAATTATGGTGTAAGTGAAAAAAGCACTTCTTTCCATTTTCAGAAGAAAAGCTATTTGGACTTACAGTCCTTTCCTACATCCATGTCTTACATCAACAGGACTGTCTATTAACAGCAGTGTGGACTATATTTTGTTTTAATGTATTTCATATCAGTACACCTGTGTGTGGATCAGTTTGCGTGTTGTGTGACACCAACTACCACTTAGGTACACTTTCTGCATTGGTTTATGTGAAGGGGGTGAGGAATAGAAGTGAATCAACAACGCCAGCATCTTATGTAAGCCCTGTCAAGACCAAGATTAAGGTGAGATGCAGACTTTCTTCTCAGTTCAGCTGTACAGAAAATTGCTTTCCGTTTTATTCCTGTGCAGGAACCAAGAACGTAAACGGCATCCCCCGCACTGAATGAAGCAAAGGTGTCATGGAGAAACATCTAATCTGCATTAAAAGTGAACAGAATGCAAATTCACTGGATCAAGTAACCAGGTAACCCTTTTCTCAGCTTCATTTTATAACCTGCAAATATTTCACATTTTTAATTCTTAGGGGTTTCTTTTAACCTCACCCGCTTCACAACAACCCTTTTTGCAAGATGCAGGAAGATTTCTAGCAGGGCTTTGCTAAGCTGATAAAAGCACACACACAAAGTTCCTTATTGGGCTTGACACATGATATAAATATGACTTCTAAGTGTATCCAAAAGAGGAAGCTTATGACCAAGCTTGCAGTTTTAAGCATAAGGATGACAAAACAGTATTACTAGGGCTTATACAGGACAGCTAAACTTGTCTGTTTGGCAAAGATCAACAGATTGACGATTAGTTAAGATCCAGCATGAGCTATATTTAAAACCTCTGTACGTTCATGTACTGTAAGTACCCTGATATAGTTTGCTACCAAAACACTATCACATAAAACAGGGGAAGGAAACCATGTATCCTAATTAGCAATAATTTCTCTCTCACACAAACACATGTACACACAATATGGATCGCTTAATACTGTATGTGTACACAGCTAAGAAGCCAGAAGATAACCACCATACTGTATTTTGGTGGAATATTTATCAGATAATGCATGCTTTAAATAACATACCAATGTAGTCCATCATTCAGACTAGAATCTCTCTCAGCTTGGAAACAGGACTACTACTTAAAAATTCCTTTTTAAAAAAAAAAAAAAAAAAATTTTAATTGGAAGCAGGTACAAGCAATTAATGAGTTATACCTCAGTATAGTTGCATGAAGATATTAATGACAATTTTATTATTTTTTTTTAGATTCCTCAACAAAACCTACCTAAAGGTTTTCAAGTCGCAGAAGAACAGCAACTCATTTTAATATTCTTTTTCATCTTGGAAACATTTCATTGTGGACAGGAAACCTGATATAAGTGACAAAGAACGAGGGAATAATTAAGGTGTTTGCTGATCTTCCATCTCCTTTATTGTACAAACCCTTATACAACTCATTCTTTAAACAAGCGTAGTTCTACTCCATTGCTCGTATGAATGACCACAGTTAAATTTTGGACTTTAAGCTTGAGGAAATATTTTAATTTAACTTGGCAAAAAATTATATTTCCAGTCACATTCTGCACAGCATTACAAACAGTTCTTTCCATTACTTTTAACACCACTCATTTATTACACAGAATATCAAATTACAGTGAATACACCTTATTGATATTTCTAAGGATTAATTTAAAGTTAAAACATGAGGGGTTCTTCTGTGTTTATAACTAAAGACTGATAAAATATATCCCCCTCTCATGCTTTTAAACCCTGGGAGCTTTGGATGAGCATTTACCACCACCAGGACGACCAGCTGTTGTCCAGCTCCCACAGCAGTGATGAAGATGGTTTCACCGCCGGAATAAACAACACATGCACCTTTTAGCATCATTACTGGAAACTTCTCAGGACTTAAAGGTGTTGAAACCTATTTTATCCATCAGCTCCTACAGCTGAATCTGTCAGCATTGGTCCAAGAGGGCCGATCTTATTAATGCCAATTACTTAGTCCAGACAGACCTTAAAGGGCAGGATCTACTGCAGTAACTTGACTCACTGTACTGTCAGTAGCACATGTCATTATATTATATAGACTTTATATTCTGAGCTAAGTGTGTGTACATGGAGATGCTGTTTTAGTTGTTTCCCACCTCATCTCTTCAGCAGTCATCAATAACTGTACTTTCCCAATATGTTATCACAGACCCCTTTTTATTTACAGACTATCCCATCACTATGCAGTTCTACAGCACGTCAAGAAGTGCTGTGTTAGAAGTATGACACCGAGGAAAAAAAAAGTTATGTAGGACCTAATTCCAGGTTTTATTGGTAATCACAAATGATTTATTATTTTGACATAAAAATCTTCAACTAACAAAAAGCAGAAAAGTTTTCTAAGAATGTATAAAATCATAGCTACTGTATGCCAGTAATTTCATTTACATTACTATGACTATTCACTCAGGTGACTAACTAAAAAAAAGCCTATTTTTGAAACTAGACTCTGTAAGAGGACACCATTTGATATTAAAAATTTCCTCACATTATGTATTTTGAGAATTGTTAAAATGTGCCTTTTTTTTTTCACCCCCCCTAGGAAGCACAGCTTACGGACCGCATGTCATACTACGAGCAGGCAAATCCCACCCTCAGCAACTGACTACACATTTCTTCCCAGAGGCTGGGCAGATGCTTTTAAACAAGAAACTTGTTTTGGTCACAATGACTTCTCCTTGTGTTCACCTTCAACACATACCCACTATGTCTTCAAATATAATTCAGCCAATAAAAATAGGACTTCAAATACTATTTCCTTAATGGAACAACATTTGATAATCTGGAGAGTTTTGTATTGGCTTAATTAGATCCATTAGACATGTCCCTTGGTACACAGAACAGGAAAATACACAGAACAGACTTAAATTCATTATCTCTTCTGAGAAATAAAGCCTGACAAGCATGCAATACTAGTGAAAAACAACAACTGGTAAAACCCACTAGGAAGAACGAACACGCTTCGTTTCCAGAAATAAAACGTTACTTGTCAACCATTATGGAAGAGCTCCAAGAGCTGGCCATGCCAGCATGTGCAGGCATTTTCTCCAGCTGACCCTCAAAATTGCAGGCTGCTGCCAGCCTGTAGCACAAAGAAATCACAAGCTCAGAGAAACAAACAATTCAGTGCTGTGTACCGTACTAATGAACTTGCCTCTTCAGGTTTTTGGGAGGTGGGGGTGAGAGGCTATTCCTGTATTATACCACTTGTAATTTGGATGGTCTTAGAAATATAACCTTGAGAACAGTTTCTCAGACCCCTGGAGCACATGCATGGAGAGAGGGGACCAGCTGCAGACAGGAGGAACGTCCCAAGGGACCCCGCTCTGCCAAAACACTTTGATGACACAAAGCCAATTCCTGTTAGCATCAGGATACTATGCACTTCTTTCACTTACCCTTAGAAGAAAACCTTTACTGGATTTGGGGTAAATATGGGGTGTCTGTTGTGTGCAGCTTTAGGGTGTGTAGCTTCTTCTTACCTAAAAAGAAAGGCAACCCTGGGAGAGCAGAGGGGGTACAGAAGCAGCTCTCATCTTTGGGCTTAACAGCACACGTGGATCCTAGTGACACTAAGCTATTTGTCGAAGTTAGCTCAGCATGTTCTTCTGCAAATAGTAGCTTCAGACAGGAGGAATATTGGAACATCTCTGCAACCCTGTGGTTTCTGGGTCCTCCTTTCTAAAAATGTATGAACCAGATTCTCTCCCAAGGGCTGCTGAGATACCCAGTCCTGTAATAAATGAGCTGTTCCCATAGATGTTCCCTGGATATTAGTCCAGTAGATTTTCCCACGTTTCTGGAGACAGTGGAGGTTTTCAACTACTTGGTAGGTTGTGCCTCACAAACACTGTTTATTATAGTCTGAGAGCTCTCCTGAGAACTGGAATTAAGATAAAATTAGATGCAACAGCCTGCTTGTCTGCACTTGAAAATGGTGATCCACCTTTCAGAAAAAAACCCCAAAGCTAACGGCCTCTACACCCCCACCAAATTTCTAAGTCAGAAATCACAAGTGACCTTAACAATACATTTCTGCATCAAAGTAGAAAGATTTTAACTAATCTTTAAGTCTTCGTCTAGTCCATGGGAGATCACACAAATTTTTT